CCAAACCAAACAAACAAAACAAAACTAAGTAGACATAACTTGTTGTGCGTAACCCCCAACACATCTGCGGTGGGACTTGAGCCAGGTGTCATATACACCCGTGTGCTGTGCAGTCACCGGCAGATGGTAACACCCCAGGCTCTGTTCCGGTGGTTGTGCACTTGCGGAAACGAACGACCATTTTCGGAAGACGAGAACACTAGCAGTAACGCCGAAGGAAATATGAGAGCAGGCCACACAACGGCACCCAAATAACTACCCGAAACTATTTCCCCGGAATAGGTACAAGAACACGGGGGCGCAAACAAGAAGGTCACTATCGGACTTAACTTCTTTTCTTTTGTAACTTCGGACATTTTCTTTAGTAACTTCGGACTTTACTTTCTTTCATAACCCGGTTGTTACCCTTTGGAATTAAAAACCAATATCAAAACTCACTCCATTACCAGTAGTATCACACACCTTGTAACACTATTTCAGACATCACAGATGTGTACCGTGGTAGGTAGCCACACCGTTTTCACACACCACGGTAAGCAATGCTACAATTGTGGAAGCTAGAGCCTAATAGGTCTAGTAAGAGCAGTCAGTGTAAATGCCCGACACCATTGAAAAGTAAACTGTTTGGTTAAGGAACGGGCCCTCACACAAGAGGCCAAGAGGACTGACTGGCCCGGCCTATTCTGAACTCGGCTGTCTGCCAGGCCGTCAAACACTCACTCTCAGGGTGACAGGTTCACACTCGTGTGCCTCGCTCACTCTCAGGGCTCACACACGACGCTCGCATCCTACAGGTCGTGACGTACATTGGACACTTTTATGCAAACGACCGTCCGGAGACCAGAGAGCGGTAGGGCCCCGTCTGCTGACAGTTATGACAGAGAAGACTGGCGGTGGGTGCGGATCAAACCCCGAGATGGAATACACTGATGAAGTAGGACATGGTGAGGCAGTGACTACCACGCACGCACGCAGGCACAGACGCACGCACGCATACACAGACAGACAGACAGACAGACAGACAGACAGACAGACAGACAGACAGACAGACAGACAGACAGACAGACAGACAGACAAGATAGATAGATAGAGAGAGAGAGTGCGAGAGATATAGATAGAGATAGAGAGGGAGGGGGTGGGGGCGCTATTCCTCAAAACGCTCACATGATTAAAATTATATTTCACTGCACAATTATATAATACCGACAAAACGGCTTACAGAATGGGTAAATCAGTTTTCTATCTGAGCTCCTGATAAAGATCCTTCTCCCCAAACCCCTCCCCAAAGCACAAGTTTTCACATATTAATAAGTACCACGGAGTTTGCAAAGAAGAGAGACAAAGTACGCGCTGCAAACATTGCCATACACTCCTACACAAATGATATGTTCGAGAAACTACAACCATCGACAGCAGAGGGCTGAGATATCTGTAAACTCATAGGGTCTTAAATTTCGAAATGCTTACATTATATTTTGGCAACAAATTACTGTGAGTAAGAACCTGAAACAATACTGGTTTTTAATCACGCGTTCTTTTCGCCCTACTACTTGCCATTGACTGAAATTTAGCCCGAAAGAAGTCCGCATTAATAATATATTTAGAACGAACTATTTATCTGGTTGGTACATAAACATTATATATTTGAATCTTTCAAA